TTAGGCCCGGTTGTGATGAGAAGATTTCCAGGGGAAAGCATATATTTTTCAAGGAAAAGCAGGCACTAGATGTCTGGGAAAGATGTCTTGAATAAGCCAGCAGGGTATTCATGGATTCGCTTTTTGGAACTGTTCTCATTTCTTATTGTTGGAATAAAATGTGGCAGCTGTGTGAAATATGAGGACACGTACGAGTACGTAGACGGTGCCAGAGCAGAAGCAGGACAATATAATGAATGCCACATGATTGAGGCAGCTACAATGCAGGGGCGTGGCAGCTGCCACACACACACACACACAGACACACACGCACGCACACACATACTCGGACACCCACTCGCATCCACTCGAATATATGCATATTCCCACCCAAAAGTTTTATGCCAGTCAGCGTCACGTTCCCCTCCCTCCATCCAGCTCCTGTCTCCTGGCTCCTTGCCCGGACTTTATTAAAATTGCCCTGGCTCTGTTTGCTCACTTGGAAGTTGCTCCTATAGATATCGCTTTTAGACCCTGCCGCACCTCCCTTCTTGTATCGTCGTAACACCCACCCCCTTCTCAAACACTTTACCCATTTCGTGGATGGTGGATGGTGGTTGGAGAGGGGGGGGGCGAGGTCTATTGAAAGAGGACATTTTCATGGCTGCTTTCAATATATTTAACAAAATATTTGCGACTGACGAAAGTGACAAAATGCAATTGGGTATACAAATAAACAGGAAACTGTTCAAAGGAATCCTCGGGCCCTTACAATTTGACAATCACTACATCGGTGTCGGGTCTCGACCTCGGGTTGAGGTGCTGGTTAGTTAGTTGACCACCCGATCAATTCGGTTTTCTCCAAGGCCGGTTAACAGGCCAAACACAGGACTGTTTCGACTATGCCATCAGCTGTTTAAGCTTTGTTTACTTTCGTTTGGAAAATAAGTTCTTTACTCAGCATTGAAATCCCTCGAGAGACTTCTTTAACCCCTCGAGAGGTGAAGGAAATCTCCTGCCTGCACAAGAATTTTGTCTTAGAATTCTTAGGAGCCAGGGCAGAAGCCCTTGAGCAGACCTTGAGCAACCCTTGAACGTTCTGATTTATGCTAGCCCGAAGTCGAGAAGCTTCCCCTAGTACTACAAATCTATCTCTGTATACGGATTCGTTGTTCACACTCAATTCTAGAGGTAAATCACACGCCAACAAACTACCACTAACGCGATGGCCGTTACTGCTAAGCCACACTGGGAGAGAGCGAGAGACAGCTCACGAACGTATAAATATATACGGATTTTATGCAAAGGTTTACAGAACTGATATTTATGCAAAAAAATAAACAAAAATTTCTAAAATGACCATAATTACTTCTTAAACTGAGGAAAAAGCTGGGAGACATACCTTTTCAACCTGTTTTGACCCACAAAAAGTAAGCCTTTAAGCGGCTCATCAGGCACTTGACCGAAAAGAATTGCTGATGGGGAATCCTGAACAATCCTCATACAAAAATTGGCCTAGACAATCCCCCGCAGTCTGGGCCCCCATCATTTTTGTGCTGAAGTCATCGGTAAGGCAGATGGAACGTCATCCACGCCATCCCCCTCTTACTCCTTCTTTCATTATTTTTTATGCTCTCACATTTCGCCCAGAGTCCGGACTAATCGAATCAGTCGAATGTCTATATACTTTACATATACTACATATATACTATATATGTGTATATTGGAATAATCAAGCGGAATTCTTTGGCAGGGCTGGCCTTCGCTTAGATAGGGTCATGAGACTGAGGGGGAGAGCTGGGGCAGCTGGAAATGGCCAAAAATTGTGTCGTAGAGGGGTTCTAGTCGCATGTGTCACTGTCGCCCCGTCTCCGTTAAGTGGACGCCACACAGCCCCTTCCCTGGTTCGAGCCACCATTCTGATCCACTCTCATTTCATTTCGATTCGCCTTTTTTGCTTCAAGTGCCACTTGAGCCACTCAACGAGAGACGGGTAGGGTACGAAAGCGGACGGGCACGCAGACGGGAAGTGTGTGAATAAATGAGTTGGAGCAGACTCGCAGAGTCCCCAAGAGTTAGACGAACCCCCGGGAAAGTCCCCACAGCCTCTCTCTCTCTCTCTCTCTCTCTCTCTGTGATAGAAGCAGGGAAGTGCGAAAATCCGGGCCAAAGGCAAATGAGCAAACGATTGGGGAAAAGGGCTTCAATTGAATATGAATCGACTGTGGGATTAATAACGCTCACCCCAGCAACCCAGCCACCCACTGAGCTTAATTTGTCGCCGAACAAACTAAACGAAAATGAAATGTAAATTGCCCTGACAAAAGCCAACAGCCAACAGCGTGGGGCAATCTCTCTATCCCATTCCATTCCGTTCTAGTTTCTTTTGCCCATTTTTATGGCTTCCAATAGGCGAGCATAACCATAAAATACAAATACTAAACTTAGCGGATGCTCACTCGTAGAAACAAAAGGCAAGGACACGACCAGAAAGGGGGCCCGATCCAGGGACCGACAAACAGACACACACTCGTGCGAGTATGTGGCGCTAATGCCCCGCAAACGATGACGGGGAGCTACTACTGGTAGGAGTGGGACCTCCGACCTTCGAGTCGACTTGCTTGATGCTCTCTGAAATCTAAAGAACAAGTCCCAGTACCCGTGGGTTATTACGACCAAAAACTCTTATATTTTCAAGCAGTCGTATATGCCTATCCATTGGTCTCTATCCAGTGTTGTTCTTTGGGCGGATGGTCGTAAAAACAAAAGCAGAAAAGTCTTAAAAATAGAAAATATTACCAACCAAATGCACAGAGCCAGTCGGAAAGATGGGAAAGGGCACCCAGTCGGACAGAAGGGAAAGGGCAGATGGAGCCAATGTTTTGGCAAGATAGAAGAATGCCCGGCCTGGGGTTAGAGGTGGGGGGAGGGGGACTTCTGCTAGAGAGGATTGGATTGTGTGTCTAAAAAAATAATGACCACAAATAATTACACAAAAAGAATTGCGCCAGCCTCCCGCGTCCCCATACAAATGATAAGCCCGGAAAATGAACAAACGACTCAACGAGGAAGGCAAGGAAAAACGAGAACGAAGCTGGCAAACCCAAATGGAAAATTGCCAAAAGTATAAAAAACAAAAGCAGAAATACCGCCAGACAAGGGGATCAGTATGGGTGGAATTCTGATTGGATAGAGCCGATTTTCGTATCCAATTTAATGATAAAGTTATTCCCGGCTGAAAAACAATTGCATAAAATACAAGAGCGAGGGAGACCCAGCAAAAAAGTTGAAAAGAGCGAAAACCAAGGGGAAACCGTGAATTGTTTAAGAATACTCTTCAGCAATTTTTTGGCCACACACACGAATCACACAAGTGTATTTCCTTCCATTCAAATGGATTGAGATTGAGTTGAATCGACTAGAACTTTTTTTTGTTCCATTTCGGCGGTGCCGGTGCCGGGGCTGTGGAGAGGGAGAACTCTTGACTTTGGGGCAGCTTCAATTGATTAGCCACTCCGATGGCTTGATTGATGAGGACCCCGCAGCGGGGGACGGGCACGTGCCACTAACAAAAATATCAATTACTTATATTTTCCCCCTCAGCACAGGATTCCATAATTTCCATTTGCAATCGGTTGGAGCCTCGGCAACAGTATAAAGTCACCTTTTCCAGTTTTGTATTCCCAATTCCCTAATTCGAAATCTGTAGATTTCAGCAGCGACGCTCTTTGGGGTTCCAGTGTCTGCCCCGATCCATTGATCCATCTAAATATATCAGCCTTTTGGGAAATGCATCTATTTTTGTACATGGATCAAGCACTTACTTCTGATTAATACCGTCAGGAGCCCGAAAAAAGAACCAAATCATTTTGCCTCTGATTTATTGGCCGTTTACTGTGATGACCGACCCTCACGCCCACCCCCACCGCCTTCCCGAGGACCATTTGTCCACCCCTTCGAAGTATTCGTGTGTCTGTCATTAGCATTACGATTGCCGGCGAGTCGTAAAGTACTTGACGAAAATGGAAAGCTGACTGCTGCCTGAGACGAACTTAAAGAGTGAAGGACGCCTGACGAAAGTGAGAGGCAGTGAGGAGAGTCCTTTACAAGGTTGTGAATACGGGGGTAGGGGGGTGCTTGAAGAGGGCACGGCTTAAGAGGGGCTGTCTGAAGCCGAAGCTCAGTCGCAAAGATAAACAAGCAACAAATTAAAATGAATTAAAATTGTGTAAAGTTACGAAAGTCTCAAGTGATGATGAAGTGGCGAAGGGGTTAAGGCGCTATTGAGAGGATGGGTGTGCTGTGGCTTAGCCAGCCAATGGCTAACTAAGATTAATGGGCTGGACAGGAGCAGGAAGGGCTCCAAGACCAGCAGCAGGAGGGGCTCCAAGACCAGCAGCAGGAAGGGCTCCTAAGCCTGAAGATGGGCGATATCCAGGGGCAGTGGCAGTGGCAGGCAGCGCCGCTAGATGCAGCACCAGCAGTAGGTTTACAAGTAGAGGATTCACGAGAGGTCCCGAGCCGAAAGTAGGACAGGGTCGAGAGCCAATAAGGGTTAACTATTTGCATTCCCCCTATACCTAGGCCTATTCCCAGCTCCTCTGCTCTGAACTCTCAATTTTGTGCGATTTTCATCATTTCGCATAGTGAAGATTATGGACTTGTAAGGGTATCTAATGCGCCAGCTTGCCGTTACTTGAATCCAATTATTAATTAAAGTTTCGTTTACCCTTGGCCCAACAGAATGCTCTCCGCCTTAACCGCTGTCGCTGTCGCTGTCAGCGGCAGCTATACAGTTTTAGCCATATTTGGGGAACATTTTGACTAATGTTCCAAGCAAAAAAGCATACAATTTCATCCACCGAGTGGACTGGAGGGGAACGGCCAGACAGTCTGACTGGCTGATGGACCGATTGGGCCTCTTGATCGATGGGCCCCGACGATGCGGGCCAAAACGATTACTATAACAAGTCGTTGGAAAAACACAGTTTCTGGAAAATGTAATTAACTCGAAAGCCATATTCAAGATGAAACAAAAGAGTTTGTATTTGTGGAATGGGAACAATATATGCCAGGAGCTTGCAGGATGGCAGGTTCATTACCACCTTGCAAGAAAATGAATTCCATTCAGAGGATTCATAAATATAATATTTGTTTTAGTTGCAGATTAGTCGAACTGTGCGCTCCGACGCTTGGGACGGCACTTGTCCAGGATAATGCCCAACACGCTGAAAAAACAGGATCTATATTTGAGCGATGGGGCGTCGTCCCGCTTGAGCTGGGGCTCGTTTTCCTCGAAGCGTCCCCATTGCATGCCTTCCACCTTGAACTCGGCCTTGTACTTGGCCTGTCCGCGCTTTGCCAGCTTGCGGAAGGCTTTCTTCTGCTGGGCCCACAGCAGACCCGCAGACTCCCCGCGCTTCACACGCTCCAGGTCAGCGGTACGAGCCGCCAGGTACTGCTCCTAAGGGGAGGACACGCGATAAGCCAACAAAATTCACTGCTCGAATATACTGTACCCTCTCGAACTGCAGCTTCTCCGCGGGAGTTAGCCCCTGCCAGGCGTCGGCGGCCTTGTTTATCAATTCGAATGCATACATGCCATCATTGCCAAAGGCTTCGCGAAAGTCCTGAATAAAGTTTAAGTGGGCGCTATTGCTAACCAAACTCAAAGTATGGTTGGCGATGGCCCCCATCGTCAATAAAAAATCACACGCAAATAAATTGATCTAAAAAATTCGACTTGAATCTCCGTAAATTTCGATGTTGTTGTCAGCAGTTAGTACAATGAAATGAATGAGAATAGGAGTAACAATAAGTAACACAACGATTCGAAACAAACGGCCACCTTTTCGTTGTTAAACGGATACTCGTCGTGTGGGACAGGTACAGAAAAACGTAAAAGATCAAAACACTTTTCAATTAAATGTCATCTTAACACAAGAAAAACACTCGAAAAATACAAATGTATGCAAAATGCGCTTTTGCGGCATATGAAAAAATCTCATCATCTCGACATTACCCTACGCTGCCCCATCCATCCGGAACTCGTTAGATTCATATTTTTTCGTTAAAAAAATTCAATTTTTCGCACCCAAGCAGCAGGCATGCAATAAGGCCATCAGTCGCTCGGCTCGCTGACTCATTACCGGCATCAGCTCCAAAAAAATTGATGATCAACATTATCCTTAATGCAGTGTCACGTCAGTGCCCCCCACGAAGAGGGTGGTCGGAGGTGGCATGCAAATAAAAGTACGAGTGGCGGTGCAAATGCATATAAATTTCATGTCCTCTGGTCACATCTTTTTTCATAGCTTTCGTTCATTTTCATTGAAGTTTTGTGGCATGGAAGGGCAAAGATGCAAGTTGCAAAATATTTTATACCTCTCTTCATCGTTCACTCTTTCCCACTCCAGCCACTATCTCTTCCCCCCTCCCTGTCAAGTCATGAATTTTATTGAGTGAATTGTGCGGAGAGACCCCACGACCAAGGGACTAGGAGCTGGGGACAATGGAGAGACAAGGGACAGGAGACAAAAGTTTGTCAATTGTTCAGTCACTCTGTCTCTTGACACTTTCAATGATGGCCAGCTCCCCCCTCTTTATCTTCTTGCACCGAGCACTGAGTGCTCGGAGTTTTCATTTAAATATCTTCGTTTATTCTAGGAAAGCACGCGCAGCATTTAATTGGAAAATCTGCAAAGAAAAATGGAAAAATGGAATAAAATGGTCGGAGACAGTGGCTGCCGTCGGATCTTTGATCACAAAGTTCTTTACTGGTTTTCCATTTCATCCAAAAGAAAGTCCATCAATGAAACGCCTCTATTGATGGCTCTAAAAGGTGCCTTTGGAAGGGTATCCAAAGCTGTGGCTTGGAAGCTGGCGTTCCCATCAATTTTTCAATTGAGTTTGCCCGATTCGATACATTTTCATTTATTCTGTAAATAGTTGATGCCACTTTTGCCTGACGTGAAAGGCCGCGGCGGGCCGTAAGTTGCGCAAACAGAAAAGTGATGCAAAAACAATAAAAAATGATATGAAGAGAGAGGCATGCAAACATTCATTGAAGGCGAAAAGCTTTTAGCATTTTGCAGACACCCTTTGCTGCCGCACCACGAAAAAGGATCTGCAGCATGCCACTTCGACGCAGTGTTCAGCAGCCAAGTGAATTTAAGTGACAGCTGTCTGTGGCAAGGCTCCGAGGCAGGTGGCCCTCTCTCCCATCGCACCGCCTTATCAGCCCCGCAGGCCCCTCACTTAAGACCCCATCTGCCACGGCAGTCATTCAGTCATTCCCTGCCATCGTTGCGCGTGTGCAAGTCAAATTATGTGGAAATGAATTATGACCCCTTTCTGCCACACACACACACAGCCCACCCCCCCCCCCCCCCACCACCACGCCCGGCCATAAGCAGCTCAGCAAACCACCCACCCATCATCCATCCTACGTTGCCGCTGGAGGCAAAGCCGAAAGCCACCGAAAAGGCCAGGAAAAACGATGACGGGAAAAGGAAAGCCAGGAGAAGCCATCACAGCAGGCGATGCCGATAGCGCTGGCGATGGCCAAGAGAACAGGGCCAACAGAGTGGGCCAGAGCCTGCACTTTGGACTCATTAAACGGGGGGCGGGGGCTGGCACATTGGTATGAAAATGATGCGCAGGTAAGGAATCGCAAAAGAATAACTATATTCCACTAATAAGTCCCTCTTTCAGTCCACTTTTTCCCTGTATCTTAACCACCGTAACCACAAGCAGCCCCCTGTTGTTATAACAACGAAAACAGATTGCGATGCGGCCAACTCCAAATTCAGTTATTCTTAATACTTTGCCCCAGTTCTGCCCCATCAATTTGTACCCCGCTTGACTTTTGGCTTGCCATTTGGGGCTCAGTATTCGGTGTTCGGTATTCAGTATCGGGTATCGTTTAACTTTCATTCACACATTGCGTATACGCCCCATGGCTCCGCATGATTTATAAACCCAATTATCAGCTCGATTCGAGCGGGGACCTTCATATATATATATATTAGTCTCGAAATTGTGAAATCTAATTAAGCAGAAGAGCAAAAAACATCAAAGAAGTGCAGGAGCCAACTCTGAAATGTATGTGTACTCGTATACCCTTGCATTTCACCAAAGATGACCCTTAAAGCAAGAGCTTACTTGGCACAAAAACTATTTGTATGTAGTTTATGCTGCTTGGAGATTCTCCCTTCGAATAGGACAAATATTCGTATACCCTTCTCGCAAGAGTATAAAAACAAAACATTTTCCTTTCACAAAATGCAGAGTGGAGAGAAAACTTTCGGGTTATCCATGCAAAAAGTTGCAATTTCACAAACTTGTTGAGGGGCAATGGGAATGGGCGACTATCAGTGCATAAATATACGTTTATTCGGTGGAATTCCGTGGAGGGACGATTCAAATCGGAATGTAAAATGTGTAAAGCAGCAGCAACAGCAACGGCAGCAGAGTTTGTCGAGCAAAAGTTTTCTACATCCAACTGTGGACGTTGACGGCCGGAGAGAGAGGGGCAGTCGAAAAGAGGAAAAATGTCAGTGCCTCTATGTTTTTGGACCCGAAATAATATTGAAAATGTTAGTTAGACAAGATTTCGGTTGAGTTTCTGTGTAGCTGCGAAAATTGAATTGCTTCTTTGACACACGAGGGCGGACCTTTCGAATGGAAGAGTATTTTTAGTCCCACAGTTATCATAGTATCATTTAAGAGAAGAACAGCACTCGGGGATATGGCAGAGAACATGTATAAGTATATTAAATTGCTTAAAATATATGTACAAATATGAAGGTATTTCCTAATTTATTAAGGGCCGGAGCGAGAGCAGTGCAGCGACTGCGACTGCAATCGTTTTGATGGTGGCTTTTGATTCTTTTGACATAGATATTCACATAAATATCGAAAAAAAACCTGCAATCTTAAACGTTCTAAGCGAACCCTAGCTTTGATCTAAATAATATCTGCATATGTTGAACTTTAATAAACCCCTGATGACAAAAGAATGTGAAGAATAATCTATTGTATCTATAGTATAGCTAACATCAGGAATAAAATACATAGATGGTTAAAAAAAAAAATGTACTCCCCCCCGTAAACCCCAGGCGGGACTCGAACCCACAATCCCCGGATTAGAAATCCGGTGCCTTCTCCATTAGGCCACTGAGGCTGACGGGCGATAATTATTGAAGCTTCGATATAAGCCGAGCCCAGGACACATACACAAGCACATATACATATGTATATATGTATGTATAACCAGCTATATCGGATTACTATATCATAAACAAATCTGTTAAGTCAGATTCACGTGTGGATAACTCTCCTGCCATCCCCTCTCTCGCTCTCTCTCCGGAACATTGACTCATCACTTAAGGGTTGTTTTTGCAAAGAGAGGCAATGTCTGCTCAAAGCTTTGTTTCTCCAAGAGCGCCCCGTATAATTTTTGTTTATTTACGAATTTGGATGTGAATTCTAAAAAATGCTGTTACTCCAAAACCAATGTTACTCCGTTTTGCTTGTGAATATAAATGTAGCTAAAATCTGTGCGCATTTCTAATGAATATTTGTTCTTGGTGAGGATCAAGCACTCCAATCGAACGCAAACAGAGTCCCTAATTGGAGAGGCCTCCAAGCGACAGCTGCATTTTGAAATGGGGTCAGATTAGGACTGTTTTTGGCCAGAAAGGGTCAAGCAAATTTCGAACAATAAGAGTCTCTTCGGTGCGTAATCAAGTCTGGATCAGCAAAACCGAATTTGCTCTTTAATTCAGTGCGAGGACATGTCCGGCTTCTTGGCATATTTGATGTGTCCCAAGTGCCTAGCCTAGTCACTGGAGAAAGTCATTGGAAGGTGGGGAGCTGGGGAGCTGGGGATTGCTGGAAAATGCCAGCACGCACACAAATATTTGCCAATAGAGACGAGCCAGAGACGGTGATGGCGAGTGATACAGGACAAACTGACCTAAAATAGTTTGCCAGGATTTTCACTCCAGACCAGGCGCCATAAAAACATAATCCGCATTAAGCTTTGAACTAGAACACAGTCTCACACACACACACACACACACACACCTTCACTTATGTAGTGTAACAATGGCTGTCCGCTGTAGCTGTAGAGCAAGAGAGAGAGTGTGAGAGAGAGGAAGAGATGCTGCAACATCTGAAGCCCTCAGGGCTTACGTAAGTTTAACAAGTATCCATCCACACCCGCCTCCCGCACACATCCAGCCACACACATACTGTCACGACTAATTGAATCAAATTATATGTACAAAAAGTGTAAATATAATTAACAATTGAAGCCAAAAGCATGACAAGCTCGGGCCAGAGTTTAAGCATTTCAAAAACTGCTTTGAACAGACTAAATAAAAGCTTAATAGTATGAATCATTTCAGGAAGGCCAACTCCATGTATCCTTGCTCCTAGATACCGCCTGAACCGATTTCGATCATCTTTAGCTAAGCCTTGAAGAAACAAACGGAACTACCGGTTGGCCGATGGATTGATCATATTCACCCCAGCAAAATATCAAGTACATCGAGTATTTAAGTATTCCGCTCATCCGAATGTGCTGATTGGTGCTACAGAAAAGCTAATCTCAAAGTTAAATCCGTTGAATGGCTTGCACATCGGCACGGATCCAGATTGGAACCAGTTCCTGGTTCAGCTGGAAAGGAGTTGGTATAACGCTTAT